TTGCTACTTCTAAATCGACAGTCGCTCCTCTCGATTGCCTCTCTCGCCCACCGTCTTCGCCTCAAACCTAATTCGTGTTCTTCATAATTAATAAATACCGTCATTCCCGAACACACAATTCCGTAAATCCATTTCGTTTGGTACACACATCGTGCCCCCATAGCAGCGGAAAACAATTAAACGAAGACAAAATAAAGCCTATAATTTGTTACTTTCACCCGCAGCTGGCCGTGACGTTGTGTCCGTCGCGGAATAAAAAGCAAGCCGTGGGTGGTACACGGGCGCGAGCACAATACCGTTTCGCGTTCGGCAACTCCGATAATTGATTTAGCGGCGGATCAGGAACGTAATACATATAACTGCTTCGCACGTGGGGAGGGAGGGATCCGTTTAAACTTAGTTTAATTAAACCGTGGATTTATTGGGCACGCCGGGTTGATACGTACACACGAAGACACGCGCGCCGCACCGTCTGGCGACAAGGGGTTGCGTCTGTGTAGCCGTTCTCCATGGGAGTTCCAGGGGCTGGGGGCAGTTACGGCGTCGAACGGAACGATACACGTGTCCCATCGGCCCCTGTGTGCGTGACACAGGTGCGACACGGTGTGCGCGGAGGCGTACACGCGTCCCAGACGGGATAGGGTCTTCCTTGTTGGCCTCTGGAGAGGTACCATCGAGCGTCGATTGTGATACTGGCTGCGGTGATTCGAGAAGCGAAGAATAGAAGATTCGAGGGCCAAGGCATCTATCTTTAATAACATCGCAGGGGGGATTGCTTTTCTACGGGACAAAAAATTAGAGAATTCTATAGAGTAATTGTTAGGAAGTGCTTCATGGCAGAATTCAAGAAATTGTCGAAATTATGAGGCTCGAAGTGTGGATCTATTTTTGAAAGATCTGGTAGGAGAGATCCTTGCACTTCGAAGGTGGATGAGTCGTTCGTTGCATGGAGCGATTATTCAGTATGTTCATTTTGTGTACTGTATATGTAAATTTATAATATATAATATACATTACGAGTAATTGAAAAATATAATTACTGTATGGCTGTACATGAATATATTATATATTCAGTATGATTATTTTATGTACTGTGTATGTATGTTTATAATATTAGTTCCTCCCATAAGTTCGTGTTAATATTTAATAAAAATACTACAGGAATTTTATAGTGACTGTATAATGACTACGTCATAAAGATGGGAAAATATTGTACAACTTGAGAAATTACTTTTTCGTGACACCCTTAAGGGCATGTTTCCTATATTAATTCCAGTAGCAAAAGAACAAGTGACATGAACTTACGGGACTAGTATATAAAATCTAACGAGCAACCATTCGAGTATCTCCTTCAATAGCAACGATTATCGAAGCTCCTCAACAACCTAATGCATCCATATCACCCCCAAAAATCCCGTAGCGACCCCTCGAAACGTCGAGTAGGGTTTCGTCCTGTCCACAGTCCCGGCGTCCATCCTTTGATCTTTGTCAGCTGTCTACACTCGCCAATGAATGCGCACCTACGTCGCATATCCACCGGCACGTTCGCCGCACGTGTACCTTGTGTACGTACACAGTCGAGGGCATTGATAAGGGTATAGCCAGAACTGTCCGGCCCGATAGCCTCTGTAACCACTCGGTCGAGTATAGCCGATCGGTTCATTTGCGGGGTGCAGTCACACTGGCTACCCTTGGCGATCCCGGTCTAACCTGCGCTCGCTTCTTCCGTTGCTCGAGACTCTACTATCTGGCAATTAAAGGCAGCCGTTGTGCGACCGAGACATACGACAGCCGCACGTGCAACGACACGTGCAGGCTCGGTCTTCCTAGATATACGTGTACGTACACGTACACGGTATACACGTACGAACTGACACAGAAGTACGACGAACTCGAGGAACGGGGGCGGAGAAGAGATTTAAGGACTGTCTTTCTTGCTGCCGGGCCGATAGACGCTCAGTGACGCGTTAAAATAGACTCGACCAGGACACGCGACGTCGAGGAGACGCTGGTACTTGTGGCTATCTCGATCGACTTACTGCCTACGAAACCGACCGGAGTTGATGCCGTTTCCTATCGAACCGAAGACCTAACCCAGACCTTTATTGACCGTGTAGACTAGACATACCAAACGTAATTAGATACGAAGGTCTGAGCTTCTTATCGTTTGACTGGGCGTAGACAGTTTTGATCATTTCAGTGGTAAGTTTGAACGACTCTGTTTATTGTTCGTACTTTGGTGTACAACGGTGGCGGACAATGGTTGTATGTTTGAATAAATAATTGCCAGAATACTGTCAATGTCAATAAAAAATTCTTCATCGTCAAAATACTATCGATGGCAATAAAAATTTTTGATTGCCAACATACTGTCCGTCAATAAAAATTTTCAATTGCCAAAATATTGAGAGTGTCAATAAAAATTCTTAACTGCCAAAATACTGCGAGTACCAATAAAAATTCTTAACTGCCAAATATTGTTGAGATCAATACAAATTCTTAATTGCCAAAATACTGTCTATCAATAAAAATTCCTAATTTCCAAAATACTGTCAATATCAATAAAAATTCCTAATTCCCAAAATACTGTCAATATCAACAAAAATTCTTTCTATTAATACAAATATTCTACCAAGCAACAGTCGTATTTGTCTCGCGCAATTGTAGAGTTTTAAAAACACTAGAATGTTTACTAATTTCCAGACGCACTTGTCCCATAAAATATTGCAGGATACATCCACAGGTGAGAAAGTGGTCGCACAGTACATTTGTAGATTTATACGTACTTCAAAAGGGAACTTTTTGCTATAAAAACGTGTAATTTAACACTCCAACTCTGTTTCCCTGTTCCCGTGCGTGTGTCCTTTTACACATCTGTGCTCGTACAGCTTTCATACCGTGGACTTCTTTACCCTTTAACTCTTTGACTCCTGCCGCGCTCTTCCGTTCTCTTTGATGCCTTCGTTAGGTCATCACGCAACCCGCGCGCCACACAGAAAGCCAGGATTCGTTACCAAAAATGCTATGCAGCACCCTGAAAATTCTAGTTCATTACAGAATTTTCCACGAAGGAATCCAATTGGAATGTTTAGCAAAGAAGAAATCGAGGAAAGCGCGCATTAGGAAGAGTGTGATTTCTGAGACTGGCAAATATTATTAAACAAACTTGCTGCTATCTAAAGACGTTTAATTTATTTTTCCAAGGCCACAATAATAATTTGTTGCATACTGCCATTCTCCAATTAAGTATGAATTATTTTAGTTAAGAACCACGTTCTAAATTCTTCAATTTCCAATCCAAATCCAATTCCAGCCTAATTAAATCTATAAACTTATCGCGAAAATTTCTACTAGGTTAAAATTTAATTTCTATACAACTGGACGTGATGTAATGCATCATCTGTGGTAGCACTTATTTTTGCAACCTCTTTAAAATGTACCAATTCCATCCAGATTTATTTTCTTCGACATCTCAACCTCGGAATTAATTTATTCAATTTCTCTTTCGTATTAATTACCTGAAAAATTCCAAACAAATTCGTCCCTCGATTAATTCGTGTAATCGACGTTCTATTCTTCTCGAGAAGCCTCGATAATATTGGGAACGGTCGACAAGCGTCTATTCGTCTCTTATTACGGTGATGCATTAGTCTGAATAATGCAGGAGGTTTGATGCGCTGATGTATGGGCTTTTTAAAATTCCGTTGGGAAACTGTTGCGCTGTACTAGATCACTGTTCTCCCCGTCCTCCGTCCGGACCGAAGAAAAATCGACGCGGTTGGATCTCGTTTGGCGATGCACGCGCAACAGCGGACCCGATTGTACCGGAAGTGATCTGTTTAATCGAGCCCTTCCCATCGCGTGTACCGCCGGAAATAGTCCGTGCAGCTTAGGCTTAATCGTGTACCCGTACATGGGCATACCTGTCGCGGAAGGAATTCGAAATGCTCGCCGCGAGGATTACCCTTCGATTATTCAATCCAGCTCGCTTCTTCCACGCGCAACTAACCACGATCCGTTCCACGGATAAGCGAATTTTCAGCAAATCAACCCTTTGCACTCCGAACTATATTTCAATTTCGTTACTAGCAACTCCGAACGCTTTCGAGCATTTTATTTGAAATTTACTTTGGCGCGTCAGTCAAAATCACGTCTGGTGAAAAAAAAAACCAATGATAGTAATTTTTATACTCCGACACCTAGTATTATAAAATTTGCCCTCAGAATTCAGATAAATTCTCGTAAACTTGCTTTACGATTTACTTCTTTCAAGATTTTTCGTTAAAATACTAGAAATATTTACAATTTAAACACAGGGTATATACATATATATATATATATATATATATATATATATAATACAAAACGTTGGAAATTACTTGGAATATTCACGTTTCAACTTCGAAATACAAATTATTTTAATTTCATCTACAAACCGACTATCCACGTACATTATTAATATAATATATTAATGTACTCCACTTAATAATGTATCCAAATAATATTACAATATTTGATGGATAATAATGTAATTTACGTGACAGCGTGATAACAACGCATTTAAATGTATTTGTAACGTATTTAAATTTCCAAAACTAACTCCATAATTAATTTAAATAAAATTCGCTCATGTCGTTTTATGAATTTAAAACATTTAAAACATCGATAAGCATATTTAAATGCAGACTTGTATCGGACTATATCCATTTATAATTTCATTTCTTTCTGACCATTCTGGTGATATTGCTTTGTTACAGATCCTGCATGTTTACATACCGTTGTGTAACAAGATAAACAGTAATCGTGGAAGAAACACGCAGAACGAGAGTTCCGTCATTTATCAAGCTCGTAACGTCATAGATAACGCGACATTTAGACAGTTATTTATATCTCGGATGTTAGATGCCCCCGGCTGATGAACATTATCGTCTGTCGTCCCAGAAATTTCGTTGAAAGTTGTTTTCTTTCGTGGAAGAAGAACTGACGCATGCATTACTCACCACTCTGTCCCCAGGATCCTTTACGAAGCAATTCAATTCCGCTGTTTGTCCAACGATGGCGGTGACGTTTCGCGGCGAGAAGTCTTCGAAGTAAGGTTTATTGAAAGATTTCGTCGGCATGCTTCCGGCGACCACGCTCGCCAGGCTGGAACCACCTGAAACAAATGAAGAAGACACCATTATGGAAACTGCTCTGCGAATGGCTAAAATGCTACACATTTCTAAAGTATTTATACTCTATACCGATATACTCAAGTATTAAGCTTTGTTTAATTGATGTATAATTCAATTACAATTCAAAAATTTCACAAAATTCAAAATGGAACTTCTTATATTTATTTTATTCATAAATTTTAGGGGAAGAAATAATTAACCAACATTCCTACATATTTGTAGAGCTGAATTTGGGTAAGTTAAAGTTTATTATTTTTAATATTAATCTCTTATTTCTTTTCTTGTTAAGTCTATTTTAAATTGGTTGCTGTACGAATACTTCTTACATTAACTGTACATTTACATTTAGATTGACATTGACATTTATATTAATATTTATTTTTATATTTGTACTTCCATTACTCTTCACTACTGCGAAAGAGTGTCATAAATTTTATTCTCATCCTATTTCACTAAAAATAAGAATATTTTAATAAACTTAAAAAAATATCCAACCCTTAAATGTGAAAAACATTTCTAGTTTATTCGTTAACTCTTTGAAGCACACGAAAATAAAAGAAAAAGAAAATTCAAGCTGCACTGAACAGCCACATGAACGAGAACCTTTGAATAAAACAGCAAAGCTAAGCAAAAATATACTTTTTAACCCACCTAACTTCAAAGAATCAATACTAACGATTCCATACAGTTAACATTAGCCTTCACAGTGACAGTCTCTCCGCGATCAAACCTGATCAAACTCGAGTTCAAGCAGTCCAAAATAAAATTGGTTTATAACAAATCCGGAGGATCTCGTGCTCGCAAAGTCGCAGAAATTTCAGAATTACGGGGATGAGATGCAAATTGCGAAAGATGCTGGATGAAATGTGCTGGCAAAAGGAGAAATCTATTCTTATTTAACGAAGCGTTACGGCAACAGTATGGCCCGCGCTTCCCGGAGTCAAAGTGACTCGGATGAATATGGAAACTCTTCGTGTTTCGGGGTCGGAACGAGATTAGACGGCGCGCCCGCACCAGCAACATCAGAAAGTTCCGCCTTGAGTGGACCGAAAGTTGTTGCTCCGCGGGCGCCGTAGACACAGCTAATTCTAATAAGTACTTGATTAAGGGAGAACTTTCGGTAGCAGTAATGCGTCATGCTATTATGTATGGTTGTCGTGCACAATCACGGTAAACGTTCACGAAATACCGCGTTTGCACCGCCCTCGAGAACAACCGCCATCTTCTTTGATCTTCCGTTAATGCAAATAGTTCACCAACTAATAATTCGGAGAACGCGGAGGCTTCTCCTCTGGCATGCGCGCCATTGCTCTCGCCCTAAGTTCCGATGACCTTCGATTGCAACGCGTAAAACACAGCGGCGATTAAGGGATGAGGGGTTGTTAGATGAGGGACAAAAATAGACACTTTTGGAGGTGCTTGGAAATGAGTTATTGTTATTATTTTTATTATTTTCTGTATATATTATTATTACTCTCTCTTCTTTGTTATTATTTTCTACAAAAGCGATGGATATTATAGTTTATTTCGAAGATTATTTATTGAGTGTGGAAACTAGATTAGAAGGTTAAATACTAAGTGATTCTATTTTTCTCTGAAAAAATTTCTTATTTTTATTCTTAAATCTTTGGGATATCGCGATTTTTCTCTGTAAAAAAAAAAAAAATATCTCGAGGAACCCTCGATACTTGGCCTCCCAATATGGTTTCCTCCCTTAAAAAGAGATTATTCCGCTCATTTTAAGGTGAAGTCATGATAATTATACAGAAATTGTAATGTTGAATTGAGATTGAATTGTAATGCGACATTGAATGTTAGCAAGAATAGTTTGTCCAATAATTTGTTTACAGTTCACTGTATACTTAGACTCGAAACGTTTGTCTACCCCTACAGTAACGGGCAAACAAGAGAAACAACATTTTCTAACGGTATCACGCATTTTGCTGCCATACACTATCCGCTTTGAAGTTCGATCCTCTTGTATTCGTTTCGATGGCGTTCATTTCATCCCTCGCTGTGTTACGCGCGGCACTGTAATTTCAACGTAAATGAAACTTCAACACCGGCCGGATTGAACAAACGATAATGTTAGCAGGCATCGAACGTCACTCGGGTTTCGTTTGCAATAAAGTAACCGAAATCCACCACGATCGAAAGTTTGTCTAGCAAATTCTTCAAAACAGGACCGATCCCATCGTATTCGGCACCCTCTTCGTGAATTAAATGAATAGAATAATTTCAGCTGTCTTAATCCATTACGAAATATATAACGATTGTATTAAAGGTTTTGTTGAAAATATAGAAAAAATAATCACAGGACATATGGTTGATTCAATTTTTAATTTTGGTTGATTATTGTGATGATAGAAATTGAAACCTCTGTCCATTAAAATTTTGTATTCTACGTCCTGTATAATAAATTATATTAAATAAATTGTACACTATAATAATTTACATTTACTAGATGAATTTTGCACATTTGCACTTTATGTTTATTAAATGATTACCGATAAACTTGAACATATTCTTGAATTTTTTTATTTAAACACTGTTACGTCATTTATTTTCAGACAGAACAAAAAATGTATCAACCCTTATTTTACCATCCAAGAACGATACCATTAAACAAAAAATTAGATAAAAATTCTGATTAGATAAAAACCTTCCCATCGAGACAGCATCGAACGGAAATAGCTGTCAGAAGAAGGGATGGCGAGAAAAAAAGAGGATCGATCGCGACCCTGCAACTATTCGACTATTTCCACCTTCGCTATCGGTAAGCGCTATCAGCCCGCCCTCGAATCGTTCGAAATTTATATGAATCACTCGATTTGCCATTAAGCAGGATTTCGTCGATCGCAGAGATGAGAGAGTCGTCATTAACATAATCCCACGATAGTGAGTGGAAATGGCGGAAAAACGGGCGCAGCGTCAAGGGGGATGATGGGCGGGGGCTGTTCGAACGTCGGTTGGCGCAGAACCGGCAGTAGGGCGAAACAGAGCCGGCGTTCGATAAAATTTCCCATTGTATGCCGGGGCAAATGGGATTTCGCCCGGGCAGAAATTGATATTGTTACGAGGTACATGCGAAATTGTTGGAAATCGTCGGCCGATATCCAGACGGTATCGATGCGAGTTCCGAAGGAACACGTCAAAGGGATTGGCAGCCGATAACGAAGCCCCGAGCCGGTTGTCGTGAAATTAATTTACCGTCGCGCGATACCGGCTCCCGCGGTGATCATGGTCGCTCGTTACTTTCAGAAAGGACGATTTAACGGGGACGATTCGAGGTCTCTGAAAATGGAAGACCTGTAACCGTGCACGTGTCCTGTGAAAACGTCGATGTAACGGATAATTGAGTCAGTTATTTTAGAAGACACGTGGTGAATAAATGATGGATTTGATTAAAGCGTAATTAACGAATTAGCTGGTCGCGTAGCATTATTCGAATTGCGATAGTCGTCCGGTATTCATTCATATATTAATATTCCTATAACGTAATTCAAAAAATAGTAGTCAAGTAACATTCGTGGAATAGCAGTATTCGTACAGCACCATTCAAATAATAATGTTTGTATATAATACACAAATATTCATACAGAATCATTCGTATAATAATATTCGCATAATGTAATTAAAAAAAAATATTCAAGCAACATACATGGAATAGCAGTATTCGAACAGCAGTATTCGTATAGTGTCATTCAAACAGTAATATTCTAACAATATCATTCACATAATAATATTCGCATACTGTAATTCAAGAAATAATATTCAAGTAACATACATTGAATGCCAGTATTTAAACACCAATATTCGTATAGTGTCATTCAAACAGTAATATTCGAACAATATCATTCACATAATAATATTCGCATACTGTCATTCGAGAAACAATATTCAAGTAACATACATGGAATATCAGTATTCGAACAGCAATATTCGTATAGTGTCATTCAAATAGGAACTATTATCCCTCGAATAGCAATATTTTTATAGCGTCAATTGAATAGTTGATATTCAAATAAAATATTCCTAACATAACTCGTAAAGATAGTAGACCGTTGTACTTCAACGGGAGCCGAACAAATTCCCAATTTCCATTACCGAGCATTAGGTACGAAACAGACTGGCCAGTGGGGTTCACGTGCCCCGTCCAGGGGTTCAATTACGCTTCCTTATCTGCGTGATGCATTCCTTTGAAATTATATCCCGCGTGTAAATCAGAGCAGCGATGCATCTAAAGGGGTTTCGCTTCGCGTGTCGGCGCGGAATACGTAAACCAGTCGGCGTTACGCCATTATTTCGTTCCCCTTTTCCTCGTCTCGCGACACGACCAACCGGCACGGTACATCAGCCTTTCCGCTGTTCCTTTGATTACTCCACCTTTATTTTTCTCCAACCCTTCCAATTATTTCTAGCCCCGCATGCTTCGAACTATCACGCGTTAAAGAACACCGAAGATTCCCTCGATCAGGTTACATCACACGGCTGAACATTCAATGGAAAGTAGTCGTCAAATATAATGTCATAAATCAGAGGCTACCCCAGAAAGAAAAAATATACATGTCGAATTGAGTAACCTCCTCTTTTTCGAAGTCGGTTAAAAACATCTGTAACGAGTGGATCCCACGTTAGACGCGAGTCTTTTTCCTTAGCCGAGTCGATCTCTCTTCGCCGACGGTAGTCGCGCCGTCCGCCAGGTGCGCTAGGCGCGCGCCGAGCGCTGCTGCCTTTCTCGCAGTCAAAATCGTCGCCGCGGTGATTAAGTAAGCGGCCGCGACGCTAGGCATTTAGAACGCTCGGACGAGCAATAGTCTACATACCGCTCCGAGTAATGAGTGACTTTTTGCCGCTCACGTTCCCGTTTTCTCTTGAACCTGTTACCAGGTCCTCCTACGGGGTACGAACTGGAAGGTTTGCGACTGCTACCTTCCTGCTCTGTAGGAGCTCTGTCTAACCTGTTGTCCTCACGGCGTTA